CAGGCTTCATTCCCCGCCTACGTTACCCATCGGTCTCTACAATGGCTCCTTTCCAATGTTTTCATTGGCAAGTTGTGGGGTTCTCTTTGCTCAAAATCCGTCGATCGAACATGGCTACACATTGGCCCCTTGGGCTCTTGCGCCCCATAGCAGCATCCGCAGCTCTCCATTGGTTCTTTCATGACGTTTTCCATGCCCTTCTTGTGTGGTTCTCCTTACGGGGACCCACAGATTGCGAGAAGGCTGCACTCGGCACACATTGGTCCGTGGGTCTCTACTGCCGATTGCTTCATTCCCCGGACCTTCATTCCACACCGGTTGTGCAGTTTGTATGGTCGAAATCGAAGGAGGCCGTACATTGGACGAGGCTGCCCACACTACGGTTTAAGAAACTCTCCCTTTACACAACTTTCCTCGCATTCAATCGAGCTTTTGCTCGTCAAAGGAGACGAATAATCATTGGCGTATCATACTTCTCAAATGATACATTGCCCATCAGATTGTAGTAGGCCACTGTTCACGTCTGACTTTGAGAGAGTTCAATGAATATCTTCGCTAGAGAAAGTCCACTTTCATTTCAGAATTCTTTCGCTTTTCTTTCTTCCCAACCAAAGGTGATATGTGTTATGTTGCCATGATTCTTGGATTCTTCAAGTTTGCTGCCTCCCATCATGTGGACACATGGGTCCGCCGGCTATGGCTGGAGTCAAGGCAGATTTGCATCTTGCATCCGGTCCTCGGTCAAAAAGGTGTGAAACTAGCGTAGTCACTATGCTGTGCTTTCGTAAGCAACTCCAGAGTTCAGCCATCAAATTCTTTCAACATGCAACTTGGGGCATTCAACGTTGAATCAAATTTCGCACAATGATTAGAACGAGATACTTTCTCTCCTGGATCCTTTTGCAATCTCCCGTGCCAATCGGAGATGAGAACATCTCGCAAGGTTTGTTAATCAAGAAACAATAGGCAGAGAACATATCACGCCTTATAAGAAAAAAAGAGGTGGAGAGATTTTCTCTTGATCGCCAAGTTTACCTATGCCCCGAGCATCTTGTCGAAGACAACCTTCGCTGAACCCTTATAATTCATTCCCATGGAGTCCCAAAGAAGGCAAAGCCGATGTTTATATGACTGCGAGGTAGGGCTAAAAGAAGCTAACACCATCCCGCATCGATTGTATGGACAGAACTCTTGGAATCGTCAAGAGGTTTTACGCATAGCCATGACGAGGCTTGAATCCCGAACGTGCCGCCTATTCTCTCTCGGGGAGGGACTTCCCCGATGAGAATTTCCCCGCTCCGACCCGGTAGATTGTGTTGGCATTACTCCCCGATACCACGTAGATCTGTAGACCACGTAGATGACCACCTAGCGTGTAAATTCAAGGTTCCGTAGAGAAGCCACTACAGCCCTACGGACAGGCCTCCGGGGACAATCAAGTGTGACCTGATGACCACTTTCCAACGTCCTGGTAGAAGTCAGAGATGTAATATCGTCGCGCCCTGTCGACGAGAGTAAACTGTCGTGGTCGGTTGTCCTCGGACTTACTCCCAAACGCTGCAGAATAAAGTAGATAACACTCATGGGTTTGTCTGAAACAAAGGAAACTGCAGATTGTTATCATACAGCCTCTATGTGTGGGAGTTATTGGAGAACAATGTATAGGAGATCATCATTTTGTCCCACTTTTGATGCACCACAAGAATGAAATGCAGAAGTTGCAGTTTCATTGGTCCAAAGGTGGCAAGACAGCTGCAAAGATCACCCACTGAAGATCATTCTACCGTCATCATGAAACCCTGACTTAGATCTCTATCCATTTGCTTTTCCATCATTTGGAGTTTTAACATATTTTAGGACACTTCGAGCAAATGGTGTAGCTGATTTGTACATTTCGTGTAGTTCTATGATTACTAATGCTTTGCGTAGTCAGCCGTAGCGCGAGCCAGAATCTCATGAGTTTCAAAAAGATAGTTGATCTGATGTGGATATTGTATTTTATTACAGAATCTACTTCTGGATGCAAAGTTTTTTCCAATCTGTACCAAACTTCACAAATTTGTTCGTAATAAACAAGTGTTTATCTCGTATTCTAAGATTTCTTCCTGCCCACAAGTTTGTATCAAATATGTATAAATAATATAATAACCAGTCAATATGGTCAACGAATATTTGAAATCGGACATAAAAGCAAATGTATGTATGACCATAATGATATTCGAAATTAACACTCGAAATGACCATTTTTATTTCTAGTGCTACAGGAAAGTGCTAAATGGATTGACCTTGTGCACATAGTATCTGGATTATTAAAACGATTCAATCCTAGAAAGTATAAAATTAAATGAACGTAATATGCAGCCGAATTCCTTAAATGATTGGAAGAGAAATCATTTGCCATTATCTGGATTATTAAATCAATTCAATTCTAGAAAGTTTTAATTGAATGTAACGCAATATGCAGCCGAAGTCCTTAAATGATTGGAAGAGAAATCACTTGCCATCATACTTTGGAATGAAGGGTTACATAAAGTGAAGTTGACCAGAAGATGACGAGATTTAGACCGGTGACTAGAAGATGAGAAAACGTTGCATTGAAATTTGGAGGCTATTAAGATCCAAAGTGTCACCGTATCAATCAAGATAATCATACGACAGAACACCAGCATAAATTTTCTCACTTGAAAACAGCTTTCCATCTGATTTACAGTCCTCATAATTTTTCCACTTTTAAAATAAGGTCCTGAGCATGTGCATAGAAAAAGAATTGTTTTTCGCAGCATGAGCATATGCTTCTCAACTAAAGAAGGAGAAGAAAAATCTTGTAGCTATTCAAACCATGGCAAGTGGATGCAAACACGTGACTTAGATAAAAACTGGGTAAACCTACAGGAAGTCATGTGTTGGTTCATCTTGAGATACCATTGTGACGATCTACCGGATATAAGGAGTCACAAGATCGGTTATCCATATCACCGTAGCATTTCATATTTTAAGATGGTCTTTGACTTCAAACGAACAAAGTAATGCAGGTACATCTTATTCGTTCACACGCGAAACCAATATCCCGGTCAGCAAGAACTCATTTGTTGATATAGATCAGACATACTTTTTCCTGAAGATTCGCAACATTATTCTATTATCTTTACGATTAGAATAGATATGTAGCAGTTACGTCCCGAACTCTCAATTTGTCTGTATGCGTATATAATAGCTGACACGATTTTGTATCAAGAGCGCATGTTTCCGAGAAAGAATTTGTATACCATGCTTTGGAAGTCATGTGCTGACCAATGCTTTTATGGATGTTCAAAACAATACCTGGGTTGATACTTTCTGATTGTTTCTATTGATATAATTCCAACTCTATAAATAATTAAATATTATAATCATAGAAACCTCATCGAAATATGAAAAACGGCTGAATTGTATTGCATTAATCTAATCTTTATTTGTTAAGTGTGAGAATTGATCAAACTTAAAAAGTTCGTAATAAAGAATGCTTAAATTTGCAGAAAAGGAGATATGCATATGCAAAATTTATCTCGAAAAATTTTTTGTTGTTCTTTTGGCTAGAAGGTTAAAAGATTGAATTGACACCATGAGTATGAATGAACATCATGAGAATGAGAAAGAATATATATACATATACGTACATATATCATAACACAATGAACATCTGAATTAGCTATTGCACGTAGTCACTGTTCCATAATTTATTATTGAGATTCAAGATGGTTACCAAAACATTTTGGTTCCATGCTAAGACTTTATGCATCAAAAACATTTTTTCATCTAATAAGAAGTATTATTGAACATAATTTCATGTCCTGCATTGAAAGATCGTTTACATAAAATAATTTGGATACAAAATATATGTCAACACCAGGATATATAACCTCGGAAAAAAATCTGGAAATAAGTCAGTGGAATTTTTCATAGGGTCAATTTATGTCTATCAACTTAATTTAAATAATCTAAAAATGTCATTAGATGATTTCATTTTAAAATCTCAGTTAAAAAATTAGATGATGATTCATTGCAACAAGCTTGAAAAAAATTAGATTTACTTAAAAAATAATAATCTGGAGCTCACTATCATAAACTATATTCTATTTATTTAGCTCATGATATCATTGTAAAAATCTTCTAAACTATATAGCCTCACGATTGTTTGGATTCTTATAACCTAAACGTCAGAAGCAAAGTCTTTAACTAAACATTGTAAATATCAATGGATTTGTAAATTTTCAACAATTTTCAAATTTTTAATTTACTTCTATCACGTTCAATCAATTAATTTCGATATATGTTAAACATACGGTCAGGTTATAATATCAGTTTTGCATGTGAAGTGACAAAGTTTTATATAAATTTATGTTGTAGCATCATGCCTTATAGTGGTATTTACACACGGTTCCCTACGATACAACGTATATAAAGTAACAATATAGTATTATTAAAACTTGCACCTATTGTATACCATAATTCACCTTTTACATCAACTATGATGGCACTCCCTACTTACAGCATAAAGTCAGTCACATCCTAGATAGGCTCGGTAAATCACTTGATAATAATATCAACCAAGTAAAGTGGAACGTAATCAAGTGTAATTATTCTCATCTTCTGTTGAATTTTTTTTCGACTATCATGCAATTTATGTTACTACAATTATAATTGCAATATGCTTCTTTCATATTTCTGTAGCTTCTGATATCGTAATCAGCCGAAAGGTCTTAATAACTTTCTCAGGTCATAATGTTTCCTACTTATGTTATACTACTCAAAGACGGCTGGTACAGATTCCTCGTAACTGCCGGTATTGCCTTCCGGATTACATCCACTACTTTGGTACATGGTGTCACATTTTCTGGCAAAGATGTAAGTTGAAACGTGATGAGAATCCTGATTGACTGTCTCCTTGCACATGCTCAAGTTGGCGACTTACAGAAGTGTGAGATTTGAAGAATATATTTTCAAATTTATAATGAATGTGGTTATTCTGTTGATATTATATAGCAGCCGGCTCGGCTGGAATATATCTGAATTGTTAAGTCAACAAGATAGTATATACGGCTTCAACTTGGATGCAAATGCTTCTCCTGTAGCACATGGAAATGGAATATTTCCAGATTGAGTGTTAACTTGAACATTAGAAGGTGTTTCAAGTAACACAAGGCGTCCAACATATTGGTTGATGGTTGAATAGCCCTCAAGGTTGCTACTGTTTCAATGGTTGAAAAGAAGAAAGCAGAGGGTGGTATATGTGATGAAGAGAGATAATGAGAACAATATTCGCAGGAGAATCACCTTTCCCTTTAGCCTAAAAGGAGAACATACCTTTTCCACATTTGAGGAAATAGTACACGGAAAAAAAAGTTGGGATCGATGGTAAGATAAGAACACCGAATATAAAATCAGATATACGAAGCAGAAAAAGCTTGAATCCATGTAAGTCCCCAGAAGAAGGAGGGCATAATACATGTGATACAGCAGCGTCGGGAACAGGGTTGGGTCAAAACTTGCATTTCGGCCCTGCATGCCAAGTTTGACAATATTAAACTGAAGAAATCCATGTACGATATTTCGAAGCATGCATCACGCCTGTATGTCTATGTGCCCTATTTCACACTAGTATGGAGGATTCCGCCTCGCGCAAAACTTTGTTGCAAAAGAAAAGACAGCCCTGTAGCATTGTGGGAAGTACAGCGTACGTTCGCGCCAAAGGGATAGAGCGAAAGAGCCTTTGTTCCATTTGCAAATGGAACAAACAAAAGGTTCGTCTGTCAGAGGAATGGTGTAATTTTGATGTGACTGTCGGGGACAGGCGCGCAAAATTAATTTAACCACGTACACTCGTTCACTCATTTCATAGTGCGGGGAAATCGTCTGAACATTCCCGAACGAGCTGTCAAACTTTTGACCATTTTCCCGAACAGTGCCAACCGGATGGCCTAACTCTTTAGGTGGAAGTTTGTGCGGAAGAGATCGATGCCCTTGCACTGTGTTGATGGGCGTAGGTCCAAAGAATGTTTTGCAATTAAGTAATAGAAACGAAAGCACTGCGGGGAGAGGTTGACAGAGGATGTCCTCGTCTGTAATCATGTTCAATCCCTCTCTGTTCAGTTCCCCAAAATGCCTGTCGAGGTTTATAGTACTTCAATACGTACCATAATGCGTCTCCGGTGAAATTTGAATTTGTGTGTCGAGCAGAAAAGTTACGGGCACTAATCTAGTCAGAAAAAATCCGTCGCAGTAAAGTCAAAGGTGTCATCACCTAAATCCTTGTTAGGATGGACCAATCCATCGAATGTAGAGAATGAATGAACTTCGATGTGAACGTGAATACTTCTACCTGCCAGTCTACGACATGCTGCCTCGCATCCGTGGCCCATATCCTCTTTCAGTATCGCCTGCCTCGTGGACGAAATAGGTTTGTCTGCAATAAACTTTTACTTATATGCGTATGCCAGACACCTTGCATTTGATCACGCTAGCAGTAATCTTCTTATCTGACCGTATGATGGCACATTTCGTTGTCCGAATTTCTTCAAGACCTGCCTGTCAGTCTTTGGCATCAGGAATCTCGCTTAGCAGTTTGCTCCTGCAAACTGCCAGACAACTTGCAATTGATCACTCATGTCGTCTTCTAGTGACTGGTTAAACTCATAATTATGGTCACATTTCGCATCAAGCGTTTTGCGAAGACTTGACTAAATCTCCTCTGCAGGTTTCCACTCATGTCTCCTCTGACTCCAGAACCTCCTCTCGAGTACATATATATTGTGCATTCAGAACCGGAAGACTTGTCTCTGCTTTGTCTGAAGCGTCACGAAGGGTCGCGTCTGAAACTCTGGCATCATGTGCATTGACTTTAAGTGGTGTGTCGAAGTTCAAACGTAACATCGAGCAGGTTGCGAAGTGCATGCTAAAATTTATGATCGCCCGATCCTTATGAAGGTCAGGATCTCTAAAGAGATTTGGACTAGCAGTAAGATGTTGGAGGCATGATTGAATCCAGCAGCCATTAAGTATACTGCAGGGAGATTACCTCTGTCGAACAGCTGTTGTTCCCTCCCTCGGAGCTCTTCACAATTGTGTCAGGATGGCTCGAGGCAGATTCCAGGAGCCACGTGACGAGTTTAAAAACTGGCTACAATCAAAATCCATAGTAGTTTAGTCAAAAACAAACGTTGAGTAGAGGGTTGCATGAGAACGGAGTTGGTTCGCTTCTGGGAGGAGATGTTTGCATGGGAATCGAATTCGTTCACCATCTGAAGTGGGTTGGATCCAAAACATTTTGGACCGTCCGGAGGTTGAACAAGGTTTGTTCGTCCGTACGGGTCTTGGTGGGGCACAAGATTCGTTTCGCACGCGGAAAAAGCCGACCTTATCTGATGGAACACCCTCCAGATTGTATAATTTGATCTGGACTGCAGCCGTTCACTGTGGAAGGAAGGGCTCGATCGGCTGGGAGAAGAAAAATCTAGACGCTGAGCATACTACAGTTGTGATGGTCGATCTTGATGACCTAGGGCTTGAGACTTTGGGGCCACATTGTCGATACGGATTCACGGCACAATAGTATTCAACTACTTGGAAATTGACAGTAATGGGGCACAAAGTACAAGCTGAATGCCGAGCAAGAAAAGCCCTTAATACAGCTCCAAGTTGCTCGATTAGGCAAGCTAGGTGCTCCTTACATTGTTGTTTCTTACTCCTCTCGAGCACCAAGCACGCGTGCGTGTCGTCTGCACACTTTTCCATGAGCAGAGACATGTCCAGACCGCTGCAACTGTCGGAAGACATACCGTATATATAGAAAGAGAGCTGGCAAGTGCGAGCCACTACAGTCCTCTGGCTTTGAGTTTCGTGCCTGCCCCAGAATTACAGACAGGCGGTCGTTGTTGACTGTCAACGGGGAAGGGTGGGCGAGAGAAGAGAGATTGTGTGTATGAGAGAAAGAAAGAGAAAGAGAGGGAAGGAGGGAGTGAGAGAAAGAGAGAGAGAGAGAGAGAGAGAGAGATTCTTTGAAGGCCAGATAGAAAAATGAGACGGCTGACGCCCCGAACAGAAAGAGGAGATTACCTTTCGTCACAACCCGAGGGAGAAAAACCCATGCCCTCTGGCACAGACTAGATGAGCCTAGGCTTATTCTAGTGAGGGGACCCAGGAAGATAGCACTCATTGAGCAGTACCTGTCATATTGGCCCCGCCCAGTCCCTCGGCTGTAAAGAAGCGGCAGCCAAGCGAGGCCAGGGCGGTGCGAGAAACGAGACACAGAGAGAGGGAGGGAGAGATAGAGAGAGGCAGAGAGAGAGAGAGACCAGAAAACAACAGTTAATGCTCGCACCGCAATCAGGCAGGAGACTTCAGCACATCAGAATGCTCAGATAGAAGACGCATTACTGCACAGCCAGCCCCCACGTCCCTGACCGATTCCTGTAAGTCCCATCGCCAACACACAGCAGCAGCAGCAGCAGCCGAGCAGAGGATGTTGTTGTTGCCATCGCAGTCAGGGTCCAGTCTTTTCCCGTGGGCCCTCGGCGAAGACTCGTTCGTCCTCACTCGCGCTCACTTACTCCGCCCCGCCTCCTCTCGTCTAATCATCTGACCAGCTTTTCCCCGGGCCCCCACCCCGCCCCGCCCCGGTCCAGCCGAGCCCGCTCGAATTCTCACCCATCTTCTCCCGTTAAGCTGATCATCATCATCTCCGCCATCATCAACAACGACAACGACCACGACTCCGCATTACTACTGCCCAGACCAGCAGCACTCGAGAAGGCGGCTTCTGCTCGATCTGTGTTTCTACCGTTGTATAACGAAAGTGGCCAGGCATCGTGAGAAGTGGAGCGCGCCCAGAGCGCCAGCGTCCACTTTGTTCGACAACAAAACACTGCTACGGACCGCCGGTCCGAGCGCCTGCTGCTACTGTTCTTCTCTTTTGGACTCTTCTCTCACCCACTTCCGCCTTCCGCCTACGGTACCGTCTCATCAACGCGCCCTGTACCCGACCCTCCCCCGGATACGCGACATAAAAACATCTACTGTACTCTTTAATATTTGCACACTAACCGAAATGTACACATATTTTGGGCCTCTTCCTTTCCGGAAAATCTGCACGTGTGTTGCCTTCGGCGCTGTGGACAGCTTCTTTTCTCGCGCTGTGTATTGGATCGAAGTGTTTTCTCGCCACCCCATAAACCAAATTTGAACCTAGTGTACTACCCTCATAAAGCTAACAAGCCACAGCGCTGATGTGTTTTCTTGTGCTCCAGCTACTACTTATCCATTCTTTCTCTCCTTGTATGAACCTTGGCAATGATTTAATATTTGATTGAAGTTCTCGCTTGCTGCGTGGTCCATCTATAATTTAATCATGTAGTTCACTATTCTATAATAATTTCGCGTTTTAAATAAAAAGTGATGTCACGTTTTACACATGTAGGAACATTTCAATCATTTATATATAAGTCAGTGTGAAATCTAACTTGGATAGTTTCACGTGTGTAATGTGTTTGCACATCTCTTCATGTCATCACTCATTCAAATTGAGACAAATTCATCCAATATTGACTTTGAATTAGTCTCCTTGATACACCATAACGTACAGAGACAACAAGAGCCGAGGTGTGCTGTCATGACACGTCTTGTGTAATTGACAAGGGAAGATCAATAAACTTCCACTGAAATTTTAACAAAGTGCTTCAATGTTTTTGGAAAGAATTTGCATGCCCAAATCTGTCTCCTATTTACATAACCCCGTAGAGCATGTAACTTCTTTCAGATAAACATAATGCGCCAGAAACTATTTCATCTTTGAACTCACGCTAAATCCATTGAATAATTTTTAATAAAAAAATACGAATATTCGAGGAATATCTATATATTAGATGTATTCCTATAATTTTCATTCAGTTATGAAATTTTTACAGTTTTGAATTGAATCATAATTTTTGACACTTTTCTAGAATGAGTAAGGGAATTCAGAAAATTGTCATATATTTCCACATCAAAATGACTTACACCCCAAAAACAATCCTCTTCATCAGGAATTAGCCTTTGGTCTTTCTGATCGATGGATTTGTTGTTGAATCCTTTGTCGTCATGGAGAAGGTTGAATGCACCTACAATGGTTCATGTGATCATGATAGACTAAGTGTTCCAACATGTATGGACTAGACGGGTGAAACGCTAGGTAGTAAAGAGGATATTATGATGGTGGATTTGATGGTATTGGATCTTAGCTTAAAATGGTCACGAGATGAGGGCTTTCAAATTATCGGGGAGAGCTGGTGGTTGAAGGATACCCTTGACTCGTAGTCAAAGTATCCTGTCATGCTTTTATGATTATTGAACTTGTTTCCAGTGATGGTGTCGTATGTTATCAGGAAGAGATGGCACGAAGTAAGAAACACACAGCAAAAAGGATGGGAAGAGTTTATATCTCCACTAATCCGCAGAGAACAGTTATTGCAATTATTCTCTATTTTCCAAATTAGTTCACATTACTTTGTTGGACTGCATATAAGACTTTCACTTGGTGAGGTTTTACCATCAGATCTTTAATACGGAACTTGAGAGATGCTTAGACAGCAAACGAGCATGGACGCTTTATCGCCAGCGTGATATAAGGTGTATTAAAATGAAAAGTATGCTCGTTGTTTTGGTTATGACTTTTGTGCGTCGTGTGCAATATATCCAGGACGCAAATCAATGAGCCTTGACAAATTGCAGAAGAAAGGCGAAAGAAAATACCTAGCGCGCGCAAGGGACAATAGGGTGATACAAAAAGTACGTATGAAGCGTAGCGTAGTGTATAAGTGCGGAGGAATACGCATGCAGAGAAGGTATCAAAGAGTCCATGAGGGAGAAGGGCACGAGGGAACAGAGCCCACGAGTTCACCCGATGGGTTCCAGAGTTCGATCCAATGAGCAGGCCGGCTCAGGGTGTCAAAGACCACTCTCGTCCAGCCCTCTTGTGGGACCGATCCGAGGACACATGGTCATTGTACCCACTGCTCACACACTCATCAATTCGTGTCCTGTCCTCCTGTCCCTTCAATTCGTGTACTGGTAGGCAAATGCACCGCCCCACTACGTTAATGCTGCAGCAGCAGCGCTTCTCCTTTGAACCTTTCGCTCGGCTTCGACTTCTGCTCTTTTGAGTTTTTCGTCGTCGTGGATTTGTGATTGGCGCCTGAGACAGCAACAGTGGTGCTGATTTTATCGCCAACGCATAGAGAGTTGCGTACGACGAATCCCGTAGGGTCGTCGTAATCTCGAACGTGGTGGGGTCTTAATTAACCGACCGAACCCTCGTCTTCAGTTTGGCGACGCTGCATGAGGGTTATATGACTTGAACAGACGAGCGTTTTCTGTCTGTGTATGTTTTTTCACATTTTCAAAGCTCACTTCTTTCCTGATAGTCATCCTGTTCTTGTTCTTTGTTTCGAAGATAACTACAGTACCCATACCTTCTGTTTGATTCTTTGTCCAAGACCTTTGCTGGATAATATAGAGATTTCCTTGTTCTTCACTCACATCAAGACAGACAAACGAGTTTCGAGGACGCGATGAGCCATATGATGAGAGAGCAAATTAAGAGGTA